TAATCTTTAAAGCTGCTCCAATTCACAAACTCAAGTAGAATCAGATCACAAGGAGAACTTCAAGACTTCAAGCGCCTGCTAGCTTAAATGATTGTTCATTCATTTTTATTTTTAATCCACTTTTCCTTGGCCCAATAGTTATATGAAGTAAAGAAACTAAATAGAAAAGACATCTCTTTCCCCATAGGTATATGACGAGGCAGCTACAAGGGCCGCGTGACTCCTGACCTCTAATATCTGTCGCTGATTTCCCCACCCTCGCAAGTATAGTAGTTTGCCCTCGCCAAACTCCCGACTTGCAGCGGCGCCTGCACCTGCCACCGCACGCGTCACGTGGCAGAGTCGGGCTCCACCGCCACCGCCAGCACCTGGGGCGGGGTCTGAGATGGGGCGTCAGGTGGTCGCCGCACCGCCACCGCAGACCCGCGGGCCGGGCGGGCCAGGCCGGGCGGGCTGGGCAGAGGAGAGGGGGCTTATTGGATCACACCGCACAGCCACGGCGCCACGCCCCGCCGCGCCACGCCCCGCCACGCTCCGCCACGCCCCGCCACGACCCGCCATCACCAGGATCAACAAGCAGACGACAGATAGACCATTGCGACCCTCCTCGCCGTAGTCGTCCCCGCGGCCTTTCCCCCATCATTTCCTCTTTCCTCCCTCTTCTTTTTGTTGCCGCAACCCTCCTCTCACTGTGAAAATATATTCGTAGGTTTCAGCGGGTCAAACTTTCCCGAACGAAAATATCGTCAAGTTACGATGTCACATTTGTAAAATTTAAAAAATTATTATGGCACTTGCAGATTTCAATGGCAACGGCTGTCCTAAATTAACAAAACCGGTCGTATAAATTCATTAAAAAAAATTGCTCCCAAAGTTGAACGTTCAAAACCATATGTTATAAAATACACCATTTTTCACGGTGCCTTATGTCCCGGACCCATCGCCTGCCTTTCCCATCAGCCTATCCCAAACGGGGCCGCTGCATGGCATGGGAGCAACATGTTGAGCTCGTTGGAGAGGACCGGGTAAAAGAGAAAAAAGGGAGGGGGGGCGTCTTGGACAGACAGGCGTGCTCAGAATACAAGAACCTGACCTTGTCAAATTTTTTTTACGTTCCATTTTTTTTCCTCGGGTCTTCAGAGACACCGAACAGTGAAGTCATTCCGCCTGAACAGATGCGCCCGTCCCGGGCCGGCCAGTGAATATCGGCCTCCACTGCAAAAAAAAAATCAAGGTGTGCTGAACGTTAGGAGCGTGTAGTTCAGGGACAAACCTAGGGGCCAGACCATATGCCACCACCCCACTCATCTTTATTTTATAGGATGCATACATTTGTAGGCCAAACTGCCTGTCTGAAGGGGCTTTAAAACTTTCGTTCAATTTGTCGTCTATAGTTTTCTACGGTCTCTTTTTCCGCGGCTGGAACGTATACCTTTGTTGACTTTTTTATTTTCCTTACGAACATTTCTTTGACTTTATTTCTGCCTGGCTTTGGAATGTGATCGCTATAAAGCAGTGTAACTGTCAGCAGACGATCTTCTTTGATCTATATCTTCAGGCGCGCGTGCGTTCGGCGGGGAGGGAACTGCGACCACCGGCCCAACGACTGCTGCTACAACTCGTCCTGCCGCTGCAACCTCTGGGGCGCCAACTGCCGCTGCCAGCGCATGGGCCTCTTCCAGAAGTGGGGGCGCAAGTAGGGCAGGTAAATAATCCGTGCCCCTTCTTTTACTGCACCGTTTAAAATAAAATCTTTAGGATTGAAACAGTTGACGATGAATATTTTTTGCTCTTGGATTAAGCTTGGAAACAAGTCGGTGCGCCTCAAAACGCGCCTCCCTTAACGATCTTTACAACTTCAAAGATATAGAAAACATATGCACTGATGCACACTGAGAAAAAAACGGTTAATTGTCAGAGCGAACACATTTTGCTAATCTTGGGATAGTCCAAGAAATTCGCTGTGGCAGCTAAGATTTAGTCAGCATTAATAGTCATGACTCTGCAGAGACAAAAGTTAGTTCCTACAGCGAACTCGAAAATGCACGTTCGCTGTGGCAACGAACTCTTGTCTCTGACTACTTTCCTAGCTGCCACAGCGAATTTCTTGACTTACCTAAAAATGTATTCGCTCTGACAACTTTTTGTCTCGTGCACCGTACTACAGTCCACTACGTTTCTAAACAATAAAAGGTAAAACCTTTGGTTTCTTTCACCAGGTGGCGGCATCACGGTGACGGACAACTCGGCTATGACGACAACCTGGTCGGGACCACGGCGGGGCGGGGCGCCGACGATGGGGCGGCACTGCACCGACCGCCGCGCCGCTGACCGGGGCGGACTACGAACACACGGCATCTCGGATGGATATTAAGCGAACAGGGGGGAGTGGTGACTCGGTACCTGTGCGGCGGGGACCGGAAACTGACGGGAGGCCCCTTTTTGTGTTCTATTTTCTCTCAAATTGTGCAACGTGTAAAAGAAAAATTTGCACTAAAACCGAATATGAGACGATTTCTCTTGGATTTATTTGTTAAATATTTTTTTGCCGTTAAAGCAAACCATCTTTCAATACGTAAGGACGATACCTGTTTTTATTTTCTTTAATATTCTTGAAGTGATGTAATACGCACAGCTCCCAACTAATTCCGGTCCCCGCCACACACAGAGTAGTGCTAGTACAAGATCATGTCACAAGGGAAAGAAACCGAATCAAAATTCCAAAAAAAAAGAAAGTAAAGTTTAAAATATCTTTCGGAAACCAAAAAATAACACGACGACAGTTTTGGCGCCAAATTCGATAATGTTGAATAAAATCCTAATCTCGATGTTCGTCTGGGTTCCACGGATGGAGGATTGAGTACATGCGTTGGAGTTGTTTTTGTGCTTTCTATAACCGCGGGGCGCTGCCTAGGGCGTTAATGTAGAGTTTTGTCTCCGCTTCGACCGCTTCTCACGCTTCCACGCCTTCCGGCTGCGGCTTCGACCTTCCTAAGGATACTATCCAGCCACATCCTTATCAAGATCGTACGTTTGCGGACCGGCTCAGCCAGCCAGCGCCATTTTACTAATTATAAAA